CGGAGGCAGTCGAAACAAGAAGCAGATGGGTTTGAAAAATACTTAGAAGGCAAAACTGGATAGAGAGTTGAAATAAATTGACCATGGTAAATGTGCTTTAAGTGTCGAGGTTAAATAGAAACGCTATTCATAGAAAGAGTGCTCCTGGAGCCAAAGTGAATTCTGGGAAGAGTGAGAGAATTTCCAAACTGTTTGCAATGAGTTACTTAGAAAATATGTATAGGCAGCAGAGGTGAGATACCATGATGTAAAACTCATGAGAGAGGTCTAAGCTCCAAATACACCAAAGGAGAGACCAGCTCTCTGGGAAACTGGTGATACCCTCAACTACTGACCTTGGGAAATAATGAAGTATAACATAGTAGACTAGAAATATCTTCTTGTCGGTTTAAAACATTCTCTCTTGATAAACTCACCAAAGTAAGTCTCCCATGCATGAGTGGAGGGATGAGGAGAAATGCAAGCAGGTTTATAAAGAGACAAGCACAGTGGCTGAGCCTGCCATGTGATGTCTGAGCTGTGGAAAGGGCTCCTCTTTGATCATTCCTTTCCCGCAAAGGCCAAGTTCCTTAAGATTCCATTTGTTGTGTATTTTGCTTATCTTCTACAGAAGTGCAGCTTTGGATTAATTTTCTTTCTTTCTTTCTCACTTTCCCCTTCCCGTTCCCACTAGGCCCCACACTCACCAATCAAATACAACAATCCCCACCTTGCACACATTCTTATCCAATATTCCTTCCTCTAGAGACAGGAAACAGGCGCCTGGCATCCTAATTATAGAGATGTTTTGTAGTCTATGAATGAAGCTCAAACTAACTGTGTGCAAGGAGCTATATGTAAACCCCTGTAACTGAGAACAATACAAATGAGAATTCCGCAGTTCTGCCTTCTCCAAGAGGGCTAGCTTATGGGAGCTCCATCATCCAGTAAGTTCTCCTCCTCTTTGCTATTTGCCTTAATGAAGTTCTCTGAGAAGCTCTCAGGACCAGAAATCTTATGGGGGTCTTCCAAATGGTAACTTCTGTTTCTGGCATTTTTATGCATCAAAAAATATTTTCTTAAATCTAAAGCATCATCAATTTAATTTTGCTCAAAGACTGTTAAATGCTATCATATCAATCATGTGACATATTAAAATGTGAGAAAAGTAAGTCTTTCCTGAAAGGAAGTAGAAAAAAATGACAGATCCTAAAACCTCTTTCATCTATTCTTTTGTTTCTTCATCTCTATAAAATAACTAAAAACTACATAAAAGTGAGGGTCATTTTCTCCAGCAAATCCAAAGTAAATGGAAAAACAAAGTGAAAAAACTCAACAATAGGTTTTATTGCAAATCCTCCTTTGACCTACAAGGATTCTTTGGTAAATGATAAAAACCTAGTTTCCTGATTTTTAAATTTATATCTGAGTTGATGAAAACCTCTTATTGTTTTTTGATCTTTCTGAAGGGAGACAAAATATATCATTGGCTTTTCCTTTATCAGTATATAAGCCTCAAATAATGGAAGTAGCTGGTGCATTATGGGTGTTAATGTTTCTGAACCTGATTCCCAGAGAAGCAAAGATACAGAAGATATAAGGCAATGTTGCAAGAATGAACTAAGTTTTTATTTTAATTAAAGTAGTTCCTGTTAGTGTCTGTTTTTTAAAAAAAGTCTCAATCTCTTTAATTTCAGACATCTATGCTTTAGCACAAAGCTAAAGTCAATATTTATAAGAAGTGAATTGACTTAAAGGAATTATATTGTATTTCATTAAACACATGATATTTGAGCATGTTAAAAATTGAGGAAGCAATTTAAGAATGACTGCAGTTTGGGAAAAACTGATATAATTGATTTATGAACATACAATTCCAAGTCCTTCCTTCTGAGATAGTTATTGTTTATTAACTGTCTAATAAAAAAGTTTTTGTGAGAGTTACACATTTTGCCCTCAGAATAAAGTACCTTAAAATTCCTGTGGTTAACTGAAAGTCAAATTTTCTTCAATTCTAATTAATTCTAATATCTGGGTATTATACTATTTATCAAGAATTTAATGCAATTTAATTTTAGTTTTTCCCTATGATCTTGACCAGCTGACACTTTTAGAGAATTGTGCATGCATAGAAAATAATTCTCTAGTAAGCACTTATTTCTGCTGTTACTATTTGTGACGAGAACGGCCCCCTGAAGCCTCATGCACTTTTAGATGGGGCGTTATCGGAGACTGTTGAATCTAGAATTTGTGACTGATTTATAACACAAGCCTGGGAGTAAGGGTGCCAGAATTAAGACTCAGTGATTATTGGATCAGCCCATTGATTGGATTGGTACCACCCTAATCCCAGCGGTCTGGATAATATAAAAGAGGCAGAAAGAACCTCCCCCCTTTTGTTCTCATTGCTTTTGCTGTCTTGTACTGCCATGAACTGTTGCCCCTCCGCCGTGAGCCACCCTGCCTTGTGGCCAGCGGATATGGACTGAAACCTCTACAACCTGTGAGCTAAATAGACCTTTCCTCCTTTAACTTTAGCTGTTGGGTATGTTTCAGCAATGAGAAAAGTAACTAAGTCATGTGCTTTCCTCCTACAGTCTTCTTGGCATTCTTCAAAATCAACATGTTGGCTTTATCTCAGGAAGTTTACTAATGTGGCTGCAGCTTCTTAGCATCCACGCACGCACACACACATGCACACCCTCCATCCCTCTCACCCATTTCTTAATCTCAGCTAACCCCAGTTTTTCAGGGACAGGGTGAGGACCACAATCCTCCTAAATGTGCTCTTACTGTATACTGCTCTGGTTTGTGGCACTTACCCCACCCTACCCTCCGTTGGTGAACTGATATTTATCTCTGTGAATGTGTATTTAAAATCTCTCTGCCACGGCCAGACATGGTGGTGCATGCTTGTAATCCCAGCACTCTTGGAGGCTGAGGCAGGATCATAGCCTAGCCGATTTAGGGAGTTAGGGAGATTCCATCTCAAAATTAAAAAAGAAAAAAAAAAAAGACTAGGGGTATAGTTTAGTGTGAAGTTCTTGTGCCACAAAAACTAAACAAATAAAATCTCTGCCACACCAAAGTAAGCAGAGAGAAGAGAGAGGAATTTTTAGATTTTATATGTTTTGCCTAAAACAAGGGTTCAATAAGTATTTGTGGATTCAATGAATGACTGTTTGGTTCACCCCCAGCCATGAAAATGAAATGTACTAATAAATGAGAGCTTGGGGTTCATTAAGAGAAAAACAGAGGAACCTGGGTCCACCTGGCCTTCGACCCTGGGTTCAAGTGATCCCCCTGCTTCACACTCCAGAGCAGCTGAGATTTTAGGCAATAGCACAAACCTAGCTTAAATACCAGAGACGTGACATCATGTTCTGCTATACATAGCATTATTGGGAGGCACAAGATGTCAGCTTTCCCAATATTAATGATATTTACTTTACTCTCAAGTGACCTTACATCTGCCCTGTTAATTACTTGGAGGGTATACTTTGAATTTATGGAAATGCTCACTTCAATTGCAAACTTTCATCCACTAACATGACATTCATTTTACATCTGCTTTATTTTTAAGCACATTTTATGATATTGAAAAAAAATAAAGGTTATAATTATCATAAACAAATGTTTAAACTTAGGTAAAATACCTGTACCCCCTGTATCAATCCAATCTCTTCATTTAAAAAGAACTTATCACCTAAACCTGAGAGGAGTTTGATGGGTGAGACATTCACCAACGTTTCTCATTTGCATACTCAACTCTATTCATGAATTATCTTTTCATTTCTTTTTGCTTTGCAGAAAAATAAATCCATGAAGGGAATGTATTTTTATAAGAAAGAAGCTATGCAATATGGTTTCTGGTTTGTCAAATGTCATATCACTTTTGGTCACATTATGATGAGCATCTATAATTGTATTTTTTAATACTTGCTACAAGGGCTTATTTGGGCTGTGAAGAGTTTCTCACAGCCTTGAGGTCTGTGAGCTGAAAATGATTTAGACTGACTAAAACCCTGAGAAGAATTATGATGAGGGTCAGATCATCTGAGCACCGAGAAGGTAAAAATTACCATTTAAACTAGAAATGGAACCTTTCCCTAAGTGATCATATGTGCAATCATGGAGCAGTTTGTTCAAAGTGTGTCTTTCAATAATCTACTTCTGGATATTTAAACAAAATTTGGGCTAAATGAAACTTCTTGTAGACTCTACTAGAAGAGCTCAGAAATGGAAAGATCGTAGAAAGAAGGTGAAGCACTCTTCTTCTGCCATTTAGGAAGATGGTCTGCTTGGCCAGGTGCTCAGGTTTGGAAATCACCACATGGAGAGAGACAGGATAGAGTCTAGTCTGGTCAGCAAAGGCCAGCTGACATTCTGGATGATGACAGTCAGCATAGCACAGTGACCTCAGGCTCAGGGTGTCAGAAATAGACACATCTTCTGTATTTCATTCATCATCTGCCCTTGTGGTTCTCACAGCAGACAACCTTTGTACCAAAAAATTTTAATGTTAAAGAAATTCTATGGCCGTCAGAGCTCCAGAATATGTATGTCAGAATACCTTTATGCAATACCCAATTCGTTCCTCTCAAAATAATCACATTTTAAAAGTACAGTCAGAATAGTTTCCCTTATTTTATAGTAAACTGAAGCAACTGCAGGTGAGCAGGGTAAGAATCAGCATAGCTCAGAGTTTTCGGAATAAATCGGCCCTCAGATCCTGACCTCCAGGGTCACAGCCCAATATGCTTCTGCTTTTCCCTAAATGTCCCATCTAGGTCCTCAACAGCACTCATCCCTATGACTGCTTCCAAGACATTAGGTAGTGTTAGCTGTATGTTATTTATACAATCATTTACTTTATGTCTGACTCCAGAACATAGCGATTATAGGGTGGGAACCTGTTTTTCTAGAATTGGATGCCAGCTCCTACCTGACATAGACAAGTGATGAGGCCAACATGCCACTTTCCTTGCCTGACCACAGGAACTTCCTATGTCTCTTTTCAGACCCAAAGCTGCCACCAAAATGACCTTCGCCATGGATTCATGTTGGCCCCGATGGCAGTGGCGAGTCCAAGATGGCACATCCCAGTCTCCAACAGAAACCACCCCACTGCTGTCTCCAGAGAGAGAGACTCAGAGCGCCAGCCTGGCTCAGCAGCGGGTTGTGTTCCCCAACAATTGCGTGTGCCAGCAGGACTGGGAGAAGATCTCCAGGAGCTACTCAGGCAACAGGATCTGCACCACCAAATACACTCTTCTCACTTTCCTGCCCCAGAATCTCTTCGAGCAGTTTCACAGGTCCATATCCGTTTGTCCAAACAACGCACGTTTTAATCAAGTATTTCCCACTTAGGTGAACTCAGCCAACGCTGCCTCTGAGGCCTGCTATTCCTTGGACATCCAAACATTTACGTATTAAGAAGTTTTTCTCATTCATTCATTTACTAAGTATTTATGCTTCTGTCTGCTGGACACCAGAGATACATGAGAAAAAACGGGGTAGACAAAAGAACTCATTGAATGTACTGCCTAGTGAAAGACGTTCACTTTTATATTTTACAACAATGTAAAATTACTAGAAGTATTTTCAGGGAGAGATATATGGTGGTGCTAAGGTGGATAATAGGGAAATCTGGGTTCTCACCACTTTACACAAGAGAAAATACACTAGAAAACCATAGAAATAAAATTCAAATCTGGATCTGTTGGTTTCAAAGACCTTATTATAATGTTTAAGGTGACATTGGGAGAGAATGTCCTTTTAGCTAGCAAGGACCACCAGTTGGGAAGAAGTAGAGAGGAGAATGGTTGTTTTTGTTTTGTTTTGTTGTTTCTTCTCTGGTTTTTGCTCACATCTTGCTTGCCCCTTGCAGGTGGGCTAACCTGTATTTCCTGCTCCTGGTCATTCTGAACTGGATACCTTCTATGGAAGTCTTCCACAGGGAGATTACCATGTTACCTTTGGCCATCGTCTTGTTCATCATCATGGTTAAAGATGGCATGGAAGACTTCAGGAGACACCGTTTTGATGCAGAGATAAATGGTTCCAGCGTTCAAATATATGAAAGGTAAAAGAAGTCTGCCTCTGTTTTCTCTCTTGCACATAGGTTATGCTAATTTATCAGCATGTTCAAAAGATGAGTCTTTTGCTTATTTTAGGTTCATTTTATTCAGTGACTCTCAATTGAAGGTAAATTTGACTCCCTCAATGAGCATTTGGTAATATCAGGAGATAGTTTTACTTGTCATATTGGTAGAGAGCCCACTGCTGGCCTCTAGTGGATAGAAGCCATGTGTGCTGGTAAATATCCTACAATACATAGAACACACACACCCATTGAACAATATTCAGTCAAAAATGCTAACAGTGCGAAAGTTGGAATCCTTGACTTGTGAAAATATTCATATTATTAAGTACAAGGACACTGTATTAGTACAAGTGGGTTTGACAGTTCAAGACTTAGACTCTAGGATAATTGGATCATCTCAGGAAATAAAGTTTAGTTGAAAGTCTTTAGAAGGTGTCAGGCAATGTCTTTCAACCACAAAATGTTTTCCATTTGAAAAGCCTCTGAGTTTTTTTGGTTTCTTCTAAAAAGAAGCTAACCAGGTAGGTTTTAGGACCCAGAGTTAGTGTGCCTGTTCCTGGCTTCCTCAGATGAAAAGGAAGACACCTGTTGATGACGTCCACATTCCAACAGGTGGAGTCTCAGACAAGAAGGAGGAAGTGGCCCAGTGGATACATACCTCTTCTCCGGCCGCATTTCTCCCCTGGTGTTTGTGTCTGGGCTTTTCATGCTGAGTTTGCTTTTGAAAGAAGAGAAAAGAATATTCAGCCAAGAAGGCAAGTAAAAGATGAGAAGTAAATTATGAGAATTAAAGAGGCAGGACTGAGGAGAAATGAGAAAAGAAGGGAAGAAGAGAAGGAAAAAGAAAGAAGACAGGAAACGAGTGGTGGTCTCCAACCTGCCTTTCGAAGGATGGTCTGCAAAAGAGAACCCCAACCAACAATACCGAGGGAATCAAATTAAGACCAGCAAGTATACCATACTGTCCTTCCTACCCAAGAACATCTTCGAGCAGCTCCACCGGTTTGCCAATTTCTATTTTGTGGGCATTGTGATTCTGAACTTTATCCCCGTGCTCAGTGCTTTCCAGCCCGGAGTGAGCACAATACCAGTCTGTGTTATCCTCGCAATAACTGCCATCAAGGATGCTTGGGAAGATTTCCGGAGGTACCAAGCTGATAGAGTCATCAATAACCGGGAGTGTTTCGTCTACAGCAGGTAAAGGACTCCTGGGCCACCTGGCTGGCCATCTGATCTTTCTGTAGCCACTACTGCTACAGCTACTGTTTGTAAAAGAAGGGAGGGAGAGATGGGGTCTGGTGATATTATTTCAATGAAGTGTTTCCTTCTCTAAAGTGAAGATTACAGTTTAAAAATCTAAAGAGGATTGAGTGTTTTAAAATTAGGAAAACTGTACTAGGTGACATTTTCTTTGTTACAAATGTTCCCAACATGTAAGAATTTTACATTAATTTTCCCACCTTAGTGCACGGTGGCCATAAGCATATTTGAGCATGTTTGCGGATGCTGGGAGGAAAAGCCAGGGCCACTGCAAGCTTAGACACAATCTCAGGACCTTACGAACTACATGTGCCCAGGAAACTGATGTAACCTCCCTTAGCCTCACTTCAGGGTTTTTAAAATTAGAGTAATTCTTGGAGTGCTTGTGAGAACTACACAAGATAATGCTTAGTGTTAGCATGTAATAAATGCTCAACAAATGCAGGCTGCAGTTACCTTTAGAAAGTTCCTATTGTTTCCCTTCAAGCCTGTCCCTGAACATCTTTTTCTGATTTCCCAACAAAACAAAGACCATGTGCCACCATCTTGCTACATGATTTAATGTCACTTTATATATGCCGTTTTACAAATCCCAGTGGGAAAATTACCAATCTGGACTATTAGGCATAGACAGCATTTTGTCTCTCAATAAAGGAACAAGACAGAGTCAGAGTGTATCTCCACTTTGTGACAAAAGCCTGGCTTCCTGAGAGACTCCAGTGACAGAGTATAAATGAGCTGCCAGCCACTGTAGAAGACTGAATAACCCCCACATGGGCTTAGCTTCTTACCACATAAGGAAAGCACCCATCTCTCTGACCTTAGCATCTCACTGCAGTGGAAATGGTACAGCGACTGTGGTTACTGTGAGATTGAGAGGGGCTTGCTTCAAGGTGTGCACTCCAGCCTGTTAGGATCTGCTTCCTTCTAAGGAGGGGTTCTCTTCCCGTGGGAGTGGAAAGTAATAAATCTGGAGCTGGCTGATGAGAGGGCTTCCAAGCAAATGCTATTTCTATAACTGTATCCAGGGAAGACTCCAAGGAGCTTGGCTAATATGAGAATTTGTTTGTCTCTGAAGAGCCCCTAAATCCAGCTCCATGCTCACCCCTTGGCAGAAAATGAGCTTTGGGTCACAGTTTCCCATCTAGAAAAATTAATCTGAAAGCTGTGGGATTTTTTTTCCCAACCAGAACTAATTGTCCTGAGTGTTGTGAGCAACCCTGAGACCTGAGTTGAGATTCAGACCTTACCCACCTCTGAGTAAGGAATAACCACCAAGGTGTGAGGCTTTGCTCGGAAGAGGTAATTTCTAAGGAAGCATTCTTTGTCATTGGGCACCAATCCACCTGTTGCTATTTGTTTGCCACCCTTCTCCTTCAATAACTTTGAACAATGGCACAATGGCAAGCCAAGAAACTGACTCCTTGGGGAGGAATGTAAGTGGGCCACAATGATACCTGCCAGAATTTCCTGGAATAATAAGCCTCTTCTGTGAGTAATCAGTGTGGATCAGACCACAGGCTCACCTGTGCTGGGAGTGGGACTCACCTGGGCCAGCTGGCTGGTTGTGTTACTAAAATGGCTGCCAGGGACATCAGAAAACCAAACGATAGTAATTTAGAAATTAGTCCACCGGTCCACTAGCAGTGGGGGACACAAAGGGGCTCCCATGGGAGTATCTCCCACAAGGAATTCAGTATGACAGCATACAGAGATTGTCTCTGAAAAAGGCATCCATGGTCACAGAATGAATACCAGTCCTGGAGACCCTGGACACACGTGGGACCCATAAAGAGTGTGCACTGCCTCAGTGTTGCTCCAAATTTACTGGATTTCAGGAAAAAAATTAAGTCATTTGGGAAATTTTACTTTTTCAATTATAAAAATCCACTATATGGCAACTAGTAAATTAAATAAAAGGGACCATATGTGTGGCATGGGACGCAATGTTATTCAGGCACTGGAATCAGTGTCAGGATGCAACAGGGAATCGTGGTGACCACAAAAAACTGGGCAGACCACATATTCACCCCAGGAGGCAGGGCTGGCCATTTGTCTTGTAGGTAGAAACATCTAGGTATCCAGGAGTCTAATGTTGCCAGGTCCTCTTATTAAGGAAACTAAAATTGGTGTTTTTGTGTGCAATAACTTGATTTTTTAGTGTTGTCAGCTAATACAATTATTTCAAACACCTCAAACCTATTTTACTTTAAGTTCTACTTTTTTCCCCTCATTTGCAACATATCTTAGGAATCTTGAATCTTTGCAAAAGAATAGATGTTTCTTCTGAAATTTGTCCACACTGAGGGCCCCTCTTTGGGATGAGAAGGAGAATGACATAGACGTCAGAATACAGGCCCACACCTACAACTACAGAATAATAACAAGATCGTCACTTAGCTGTTGGCTCTTGCTTCATAAAGCTGGGAAGCCAGACTAGATCCTGTGAGATGCAGGATGAAAGAACTAAACCCAATAAACTTGGGCAGTGTTAGGTAGATGATGCTTCTTTTGACTCCAACAATGCACGTTGACATAGGAAAGGTTCTGGGATGAACCTCAGTTAGTATCCTGTCCAATTCTGTTTAACTCAGCTGTGTCCACTGAGATGTTTTTGCCCTGCCAACCCTTATGCCAAATATCCAAGATGTATGGAAAGATGTTACACAACAGAAACCTTGACTTTAACAACAAAGGGATTTGATTGGTTTAAGTAATTACCAATATCCTGAGGTAGGAAAGTCATCAGCATAGGTTCAACCAACGTTCTAAACTCCAGCTCAGCTGTCCTTTTCAATCATCCTCTGTCTGTGTCATAGTAACCCTCAGGCTGACTTGCTTCATGGCCAAGAGAGGGCTGCAACAGCACCAACCCTTACAAATACACTCAATAACCCACAAAGTCCAAAAGATATTTTTGATAGTCCTCTTGGAAGATCAAGGAGGCATACTCCCGAAACCTGACTCACATCTCAGTGGACCCTACTGGGTCACATGCCAAGTCCCTAAGGACAGGCAATGGAATTGTGGTAATGATGTTTCTTACACCCAAGCTACAGTCCTTTCCAAGAGTGTCAAGAAACAGCACAGGCTATTCAAAGTATAATCCAAATGTAAATAATAATAATAATTTCCAAGAGAAAGAAGAGCAGATGTCACATGTCACAGAGGCCACTTTTAGGTCCTCAACTCAATTACTTTAAATCATTTTCCAGCCTACACTCTTTGTAAATTGCTTTCTGCATATCAAAGACACATAACCCTTTGCGACACTGCATACAGCGTCCCAAAAGTCTACTAACTCAGAAGTAGACGGAGTCTATGAAAGTCTCCGAATAGGAAGCTAGAAATGCTACACAGATGTTAGTCATTACCTTAACTAACAGAAGCTGCAGGGCATATGCCTTTGCCGAGTATCCATGACGTATGGGAAGATGTTACCCAAAGCACGCGAGATCTGAGACGACACTATTTTTCCTGAGAAGCTAATAAAAGTAAATACCTCAAGCATCAACTCTTTTAGTTTAATCTCAGATTTATATATGTCAGAAGCCAGTGTTTCCCCCACCTTTTTGTTTTTTCCTCGCTCATTTTTGTGCATTTGGACACCAGGGCTCTTAAAATTTCACTCATCGCCTAATCCCATGCATCATCAAACCCAGACTTGTTTATGCTGTGAGGAAATATCTTTTTGCAAACAGCAGAGGCCTTGTTAATAG